TGTCTTCTGGGTTGTTGCGCCGTGTAGTCTGGTCGATGTTTACCAACGTTTCAGAGGTCATACTGCCTCCTTCATCAGGGCGATGTGAAAACCTCGGTGTTTTGTTGTCTTGTCAGGATACGCTTTGTTAGATGCTTTACGATCAGAATAAATGTTCGAGAATGAACACTGTTTCTGCTCGTGGACACACCATATTCGCGCCTGCGCAGCTGGCATGAACAGCGGTCTAGCAACTAAGGTGACCTTGATTCTAGTGTAATGTCTATGGTTGGGAGAGTGGTGACCTGGCTTCGCGCTGAATTACCGGTGTTCGATTCCAGGCACCAGGGACAGACAGACAGACACTGAAGTGCACTTCATGAACGCGCCCTGCTGTTATACGACGTGTCTCCTGTTTTTCAGGTGTTCTATCGGTTGGCCCGCCTCCCCTCTGGCTGAATCCTTCTGTTGGCAGTCCAAAGTTTTTGGGTCTGGGTAGGGACGAGTGAGGGAGAATACGATCCGAGTACTTTGATGGTTTGTGTTGGTGGTCCCGTAACACTGTTGGCGGCCGCAACTGGAGTGTCAGACACTTGACAGTGATAACACCAGGAGGGATGGCGTTATAGCGCCAAGCTTTTGTCTTTCTGAAGAGTTCCTCCTTCGGCTCTGCAGGTAAGTAAATGATATTGCGTTATCTGCATGTGGGTCGATAAGTAAGTCATCTTCTGTGCCGACGATGATTGAGAAAATGGAGGAAGACGACAGATTCATGAAGAAAACCGCGTTCTCTGACGAGGCTACGTTCCACGTGTCAGGGAATGTAAACTGAAAGTACGCATCTGGGGATTAGAACACCCTTTCAGTGGAGAACATTAGAGACAACACCAAAGTTTATGTGTGATGTGCCCCGTTACGGCCGTGCTGGTTCCATCTTCTGGCCGGTCGCGTCGCCGGACTTCACACCCTGTGAGTTTTTTTTTCTGTGGAGATACGTAAAATAAAAGACTGTATACCGAGGCCTACGTCAGCGAAACTTTGAGAGTTAAGCAATGTGTCCGTGTCTATCCATAAAGATTTTATTCACAGTAACAATTAACATGACATCAAGACGTGATGAGACAAAGACTTCTGGTCGGAATTTCTCGATCTTTACAGAAGTTATCTGACATTTAAAACTTTAGTTGTACTAAAATAGAAAGGGTACGAAAATGTAGTCTGGAAATATAAAGAAATCAGTCCACGTGTTGAAATCCGTGTAGCAAATGGATGTGGTGTTTGCCCATGGAGGCAAGTATCGTGTGTGGTCTCCTTTGTGTCACACTGTTACATTACGGCACAACGCACAGGTGTGAACCCGGCTTTAGATTGTTGTGTGGAGATTAGGAAGTGCGGATTGTTTTAAGTGTGATTATCTGTCTGGCTGAGTAATCTATCCACTTAGCCTCTGAGACACTGTATCTGATAAGACACTTGGAACAAGTACCCTTTGAGAAAAGAAAGATTAAGCTCTTATGTCGTACAACAGTGCGTCGGTAAATTACACTGAAGGATATTACAAGTCATGTCGTCTCCATGGCGAAGGATTTCATTAAAGAATAATTTACATTGATAAAAAGATAACCAGGCATTAGGGCCCTGAAAGTTACCTAACTCAGATAAATGGATTTACGTCATCATATTTTAATGGGACGTGGTGGTGCACTAATTTTATCTTTATTTATCGAAAAAGACAAAATTAGTGCTGCCTCCAACATCAGAAGTTGGCCGACGTTTCGGAGGTTCTCGCTGCATCCATCGTCAGAGCGATGGAGGATGCAAGGACCTCTGAAACGTCGGTAAACTTCTACCGGACTACACGGCCCGACAACCCATAAGACAGCCATCACCGCCGTGAAGACTAAATCCCTTGTTTTCAAGGAAATTAAAAGCGATCGATAATGTTATAATTGTATTTACATCATTTGGTACCGAAACTTCAATTCGGCTCGCAATGAGCGCCGTGTTTTCTCAGTGTGGTCCGCGTTCTGTACGAATGTTTGAGCGTTGGCGTCTCTGGACTGATGTTCCCATTGGTCGATACCTTCTACGCATGCGCTGCTGCGTGACTGCACATATCACGTGGTTTCTGTTGCGCAGAACTGTTACTTTTTATTAACGTGAGTTTAGGTGAGGTTGGATTCAGGGCCGGACTTTGACCTTCTGAGGCGCAAAGCTATGTTAAGTTTACGAGGCTCCATAAATTCGGCAATAAAGTAAAATATTGTCGCTGAAGGGAAGATTAAAATGTATATAAATGTGAATCTGTTGTGAACGAGAGCATTTTCTAGCATTGGAATGTAAATACTAATGTGGAAGGCCACTTTAATACATTATTTTGAGGCCTGAAGCAAACATACGTAAATGCGGCATGGTTTAGGTTATGTTAAGGTGCGGTCCACAAGTAATAGACGCATGCGCGTTTGTCAGTATATCGTCATTGGCCACGTGACATACCACGTGATATTGTTCTAGCCTATGTCGGCCGCATTGATCGCTGAACTGAAATCTCATTACAAGAGTAAATTAGAGTGGACTGAGGTCCCGCTGTTTTCAGTACAAGGCTTTCAAGTTGAGGGTGTTGTCACAAACACATTCCCGTTGGCAAACAGAAGAAATTTGAATGACATTTTATGAACACAGCAAGTCCACTCCACCTCAGCGTTGTTTGGATAACAACACGGTTTATAAAGAACATCTACATCATTAGTCTTACTGGAATTTAGAGTTTTAAAAAGAACATTCCGTTTCGGAGATTACATCTGTTTCCGCCTTCAAGTGGGAAGTATTACTCCGTTAGAAAAATCTAACCTCAATCATTAAATCGAATGACATTATGACATGATAATGATTCGTATCACTTTGTAACGAAATCAAGAATGTACATATTCCCCAGATTATCGTCTGAGGATAAAAACAGATCCAGTTACTAAAATTTGTTATTTGTAAAGAAAATTAGACGGCAGATTTCGTCTAGAAGCCTAGTAATGCTTAGAACTCATAGAATTAACATTACATAGCGTGTGTACTTATGAGTATTGTCCACGGACCAGGAGAAAAGCCCTGCGGGGGAAATGTTACTTATCAGCTGGACTAGAAGGCTGCTATTGGTGGGAAGTGTGATACGTCAGAGTTTAAGGCTACTACACAGACTGAAAACATCAAGCAGTTAAGAGTAGCGTGTAGTGAGTGCACCTCTAATGTGTTCTGCGGGTGTTGCGATAATATTCTAGATTAAATCACTGTGCCACTGTGAGGTAATCTTAAAGCTGTACCCATTAGAACACATGAAATATACCGAGTTGTATAAAAAAAATCCTTCGTTTTAAGTGGAATTGTTACGAAAATAACTTCCATCGACCCCGAACGAAATTTCCCGGCTTATACAATGAATCGAAAAGTCACGCAAACCATATTAAAATATTTATTGATGGTCGAAATTCGACTGGATTAATGCACACAAAATGTCGCTTTGAGTGTACAAAAGCGCGTACTACTTCATGTTGTAACCATCCCGTCTTTCATCAATCGAAATGCAAGGATGTCTTTTTCACAAAAGCAGAGAGTGTTTTTAATTAACTTGCCAAAATGAGTTTAGAGACACATTTCCCGATTCTCCTGCGTCAAACAAATCGACATGATCTCGTCTGATGAACCGATTTGTGATACCGGGTTGCATCGCTGTACAGAAAAAAATTACAGGGCATCAGGTCCGGTGAACGTGGAAATCAAGGACACAAAAGGCTCCTCTGCCTTCGTTGGCAGTAATTTTCTGTCATATCGCCCCTGGCGGCGAACAGTGTTACTATGCGGCCGCGAAGTATACCAACATAAACTTGGAGAGTTTCTCTTTCCATCGGTACCAATTTTGTGCATCTGAATTTCATTAAACGTGAGTAACATGTGTTTCAAATCGGTAACATCATTTAGACTAACCCTGTGTACTCTTAAGTCTCTAGGTGACGAAGTATACCGACTGAATGAAAAACTTTTGACACCTTTGCATTGATGGTCAACATCTTGTGGTTTTAGAATATGTTATTAAAGTGGGATGTTGTACATCCGTTCAAATGTTTCGGAAATTTCTTCCAGTCTCAAAAATACTTGCTTCTAACATAAATTGGGCGAAGTGACTCGCAGATTCCCGTACGACATAACCGGATCTCGTGTCGCCAGCTGGAAAATTAGTGACGCAAAGGTGCGCAGAACCTTTAAAACCAAGAAAATATTTTAGAGATTGTATCGATTACGTTACAGTGCAAAATTCCAGAATTTTAATCAATTAAGTTATCACTAAGCTATTTTTTTAATGAAATTATGGAACGATCAATGGAAGGCGGTAGACTTTTGATTCTACGACTTCTGATCTGTCCTCGTGTGTAAACAGGTGTTGAGATTAATTTAAAACAATGTCTAAATCTAATATAATCAGATAGGAAGAAAGGAATTTTATTTCTGTCAAGAACTGGAACGCAGTCCTTGTTAATTCCTCATTTGGAACAATAAATCACGTCGCGTCTCTCATTTGTCCATCCCTGACCCATATAATGAGCTCCGACGTATTTGAATGTATTGATTAAGTTGGTAGCAGTTCGCACGTGACAGAGGTAGCCCGCAGGAGCCACGTGACGCGTCACCGAAGCTTACGTAATACTGCAAACACGAGGCAGCTGTCTCAAGGTTAAGTGTTCTCAACTTTACCTTTTTTAAAATTTCCTGCACGTCCGCTGGGGGGTTTTTCCAGATGTTTCTAAATCTTCGTCCGTCCGCCCTTGAAACGTATCCAGAGTCATTTAATTATAATTTTACTTGAGCGCAAAAACAATTCGTTTCTTATCCTCTGGTCGACTCCCGTTTAAGGCTTTGACCGGGATGTTCTTTTGTTAAATCGTATGTGGTACCGTCTGATTCGACTTCTAATGGTGAAGTGAAGTGTTTTCTTCGCGGTACGGTCTGGATTCGTAAATATTATGAAGACGAGCTTCGGCTTCAAAGGGTTAACCAGCTGATTTTCGTAATGGTGAGGTGTAGTGTTTTCTTCGCGGTACGGACTGAATACATAAATAATATTCAGACGATCTTCGGCTTCAAAGGGACTTAATGTGTCGACAAGAAATATTCCGTCTTTAATAGAACTCGTCTATGTGCAAAACATAAATTGCCTTTCTCAGGAAGTAGCTTAAGGCCACTTCGAGTGTCCCAAACAAAGCCTGTTCAGATACGAAAACATTGGCAAAGTACATTCACATATATTACGTAACCCAAGGTCGTCACGTTGAACTAGACGGAACGTGTAATCATTATCAGTGGAGATTACAACGAGTTGGGAATGTAGGTATAATTAAGAAACAAGAAATGCGTCCAGAATTTTAGTGGAACTCGCTTCTAAAATTCTCTGTTATTGCTGAAAACAATTTACCGATCGTCCACCACTTTACTGAATAAGCTACTTTGGCCAATAGTCGTGTTGTTAGCGAAATTGGTTGCCATCGTTCGAGCGCTACGAGAGAGAGAGAGAGAGAGAGATTTCAGCGGATTGTCATTTGTTTCGAACAAAAGAACTGCGGGTACCGAAGTATGTAGGATGTCACATCACGAGAGTTCATAGATTTGTCATAGAAATTTGAGCGGATATA